CCAAACTTTCAACGAAAAATTAATATTTACACTTCTCAAACTATTCCAAAAAATTAAAGAGGAAGCATGGCTCTCAAACTCATTTTGTAAGACCAGCATTACCCTGACATCAAAACTAGGCAAAGACATTACAAAAAATAAAATTATTGGCCAATATCCCTGATGAACTTGGATGCAAAATCCTCAACAAATTATTGGCAAACCTAATTCAGCAATACACTATAAAGGTCAAACACCATGATTAAGTGAGATTTATTCCCAGGATGCAAGGCTGGTTCAACATCCACATATCAATTAACATGACACACTACATAAAATGGGTAAAAATAATATGATCATATTAACAGATGCAGAAAAGCATTTGACAAAATCAAACACTCATTTATAATAAAAACTCTCAGCAAAGTGGGTATAGGGGAGCATACCTCAACATAATAAAGGCCATGTATGAGAAACCCACAGCTAACATCCTACTCAAAGGTGAAAAGCTGTAAGCTTTATCCCTCAGATCAGGAACATGACAAGGATGTTTATGTCACCATTTTTATTTGACATAGTATCTGAAGTCCTAGTCTTAGCCATTAATAGAGAAAAAGAAATAAAAGGCATCCAAACTGAAAAGAAATAAAGCTGTCACTATTTACAGATAACATGATACTACATAGAGATTCAGTAAAGACTCCACCAAAACATAATTACAACAAATGAAATCAGTAAATTTGCAGGATACAAAATTAATATTCAGAAATTAGTTGTGTTTTTATATACTAACAATGAACTGTCAGGAAGAGAAATTAAGAAAACAATCCCATTTACGTTTGCATCAAAAAGAACAAAATACCTAGGAATAAATTTAATGGAGGTACAAAGACTCATACTTTGAAAACTAAAAGACAGTGCAGAGAAAAACTGAAGACACAAATAAATGGAAGAACATACTGTGTTCATGGACTGGGAAAATTAACACTGTTAAAATGTCCATATTACCCAAAGCAACCTACATATTTGATGCAATCCTTATCAAAACACCAATGGCGTTTTTCACAAAACTAGACCAAATAATCCTAAAATTTATATAGAACCGCAGAAGACCCCAAATAGCTGAAGCAATATAAAGAACAAGGTAGGAGGTATAAGCTACCTGATAATAAATTATACAAGGATACAGTAATCGAAACATCTGGTACTCTCACTAAACAGATACACAGATTAACACAACAGAACAGAGAGCTCAGAAATAAACTTGCATTTACATGGTCAATTAATTTATGACAAAGGAGGCAAGATTATACAACGACGTAACAACAGCTCTTCAATAAATGCAGCTGGGAAAACTGGACAGATACATACTAAAGAATGAAACAATCACTTTCTTACATCATATACAGGTAAATGGATTACTCAAAACTCAAAATGGATTAAAGACTTGAAGTAATGTAAGACCTAAGACCATAAAATTCCTAGAAGAAAACACAGGCAATAAACTCTTTGACACTGCTCTTAATCATTTTTTTTTAAATATATATATGAGGATGAACAAATGGGATTACATCAAACTGAAAAGTTTTGACAGTGATGAAATCATCAACAAAATGAAAACCTGATGAATGAGAAGATATTTGCCAATGATACATCTGGTAAGGGGTTAATATTCAAAATACATAATAAATTTATACAACACTGAAAAAACAAACTGATTAAAATATGGGCAGAGGACCTGAATAGACATTTCTCCAAAGAGGACATACAAATGGCCAACAGCCGTACAATGCTCAACATCACTAATCATCAGAGAAAAAACCACAATGAGGTATCACTTCGCACCTTCAGAATGGCCATCATCAATATATTAACATATGTTGGCAAGCATGCGGAGAAAAGGGAAGCCTTGATCACTGCTGGTGGGATTGTAAACTGGTGCAACCCTTATGAAAAACAGTATGGAAGTTCCTCAAAAAATTAAAAATAGAATTACCATTTGACTCAGTAATTCCATTTCTGGGTGTTTACCTGAAGAAATCAAAAACACTCATTCGAAAAGATAGATGCACTCCTATGTTCACTGCAGGGTTATTTACAACAGCCATAATATGGGAGCAGCCTAGACATCCATCAACAGACAAAGAGATGAAGATACAAGTCAGACAGAGAAAGACTAATACCATATGATCTCATTTATATGTGGAATCTAAAACAAAGAAACCAAAAAAGAAAAAAAAAAGGTAAAAAATCCAACTTACAGAGAACAGATTGGTAGTTTTCAGAGGTGAGGGCTGGGCGTGGGCTGGACTGAAATGGGTAAAGGCAGTCAAAAGGTACAAACTTGCAGTTATAAAATAAATGCCCTAGGGATGTAATATACGCATGGTGACCATAGCTAATAACACTGTATTGCGTATTTGAAAGTTGTTAAGAGAGTAGGTCATAAAAGTTACCACCATAAAAAATATTCTTTAAGTATGTATGATGAGGGATATTAACTAGACTTACTCCAACAATCACTTTACAATATATACAATTACTAAATCATTTTGTTGTACACCTGAAACTAATATAATATTGTATGTAAATTATACCTTAAAAAATCAATGGGAGAATACAAAAATGTTAAAAAAAGTTTCATAAATACAGAACCTATTGTGAGACACTATTTTATAATATCCTTTCCACATAGATCATCACATTTTTTAAAGTTTTTAAAAAAGATTTTATTTATTTATTTTTAGAGAGGGTAGGTGGGGGAGATAGAGAAATCAATGTGTGGTTGCTTCTTGTGCTCCATCTACTGGGGACCTGGCCCACAACCCAGGCATGTGCCCTAGACAGGAAATTGCACCGGTGACCCTTTGTTTCGCAGGTCAGCACTCAATCCACTGAGCCACACCGGGCAGGGCACATCATCACATTTTAATGGTAGAATGTATCCTCCAACTCAACCTTGTTTTAAAAAAGGAAAAGCAAACAAGCAGAGCTACTTAGTGACCAGAGGTCTTCAAAATTTTTTGCTCAGGTATTTCTAAAGAGCTGAAAAAAATCTATGAATATTTTTAAGTTGTAAAAGACGTAACTTCTAGAGTGCTGAAAACACTAACATATTATCCTAGAACGGTTACATCACTCTTTTAAGTGAATACAATCGGATCTAAATGCTATAGTGATCTGATATTCAGTATGTCCATTTTTAAAAAAATGAAAATGCTAGACTATGATACTTGGAAAAATTTACATTTTGGGAGAACTCATATTTTCATTCCGATGTTTCCAAATAATTTTAGTTTAATGCAATATATACTTATGTCAAAAAAACTTTTATTCTATACTAGTTCTATACAACAAAAATACTAAATTGAAATTTTCCTGTGACTGTCTCTTAAGGGTTAAAAATTCTTCTGTATTGAGTAATCATTTACAATTGTTAAAAGCATAAAATTAATTAAAACAGTATTTTTTGTTCTGGCTGGTGTGGCTCAGTGGATTGAGTGCCAGGCGCTGGTTTGATTCCCAGTCAGGGGACAGGCCTGGGTTACAGACCCAGGTCCCCAATAGGGGGTGCATGAAAGGCAACCACACTGATGTTTCTCTCCCTCTCTTCCTCCCTTCCCCTCTATCTAAAAATAAATCAAGTATTGAAAAAAAAAAAATTCAGCATTTGCTAATTCTGACAGTAGCATAAAAACTGAGTATTTCAGAAATGCATTTCCTAGTGAGATGAATGTACCTCCCCCCGCCTTGCATTCGTTTATGTGTATACTGTAGTTCAATATTACTTGCTACTAGGAAGTTAGACTTTAGTGTAAATTTTATTGCTTTTTTTGGGTGTAAATATTGAGAAACCCTATTAGAATGAAGTAGTCATGAAAGAAGTTCTGTTATAGCCAGGTCTCTCAATATTTGACTCCTTCCAAATTAACTACCAAAAATCACACCCACGCCAAGACCTAGTATCAAAAAATAATTTTCAGTCTTCTATCAACTGACAACTTGTTAAAAAGTATACCAAGTTTTTTTTTATAAGAAGACTCCCTAGTCATTCCCTTTGTCAGCACTGTTGAGATGCACCAGAGCAATAATCTCGATAGTGCGCATAGTCCAACCCATCTCAACTCGTACTTCAGTCATTTTCATAACCAAACGGTGAACATGAAAGCCCTTAGGTGACAGGAAAAACTTATGTGTGTCTTCTAGATAGAGCTTGTGTGGTGGTTGAAATGTTCTGTATCTGCACTGTCCAATATGGTAGCCACATGTGATTAAGTTTAAAAGTTCATAATGCTCAATATTCACATGTGGCTAGTGGCAACTCTAATAAACAGCACATTTAGACTCTTCTACTCAAAGTGTGGTCTGCACCTTCGGCTAGAAGTGCCTGACCTCAGGCCCTGCCTCGGAGCTACTCAATCATATTATGCCTTTTAACAAAACCCCCAGTTGATTCATATATACTGAAAGTTTGAGAAGCACTATGTTAGTAACCTCTACTTTGTAGAGAGTTTTTCCTAACATTGATACCCCCTCCCCACCAAAAAAAACCCTGCCTCCATGAAATGTCCAACCTCAGGCCTTAATTCCTACTCCTAGACACAGTGCAAAATCGAAACCCCCTTCCAGGCAGCAGCCATTCCGATTATTTGAGCAGCTACTAAATTCTCTATCAACCACCTTTTTCTCTCTGCCCCACATCTCATTTTCTCGAGATTAAATACATAGAATTCCTTCAACCACTTCTGTGCGAGACGAGGCCTGAAACTGGAGTCCCGACTCTTGCAAAGCACGTGTCCAAGTCGGTGAGTCAAAAAGCAGGCTGCTTTCTTTGTCCCCAAGAAATTAACAGTTCCTGGATCTTGGGTTTCTCAGACGGACTACCCAGGCCGACAGTAGGGTCGACCCTCCTGCTTGGCTCTTTTGCTCTCACCCTCAGCCCACCTCCCGTCACCCTTCTCATCTGCTGGTCTCTCTTTCCGCCACCCCCCCCCCCTTTCTTCCCTTTCCCGGGCTGACACCTGACTCAGAAGACGTGGTCGAGAGACGATGCCCCGCAGATCTACGTAGACGGGAGAAGAGAGCCCGCTCTTCAGCACGAAGTTCCCAAATTTGAAAGCCTGCACGTCGTACAGATCCGTTACCAAAGACCCCAAATCTGCATCAGTGGCCGCCATCGTTCAGTGGTCCGCATTCGCTCCAAACGCCAAAGTGCGCCCCGACTGCGGCGCTCCTATGACGTCACCGAGAAGCCCCACCCCTTCCGCCCTCTTTTCCGGCGGCCGGGGGGACTTGGTGCGCGCACCTCTGTTTCCTAGGTAGTGACGTTATGTTGGCGGTCGTGAAACTTACCTTGGGATCTACTTATTCTGACTGCGATCGATGGAATGTAAAGCCTCGAATAGTTAGTTAGATCGCTTACAAGATCATGAAGTCAAGCCTTTCAAGAGACTGTGAATCCTGCCCACTTTTTAAAGCTTAGTATCCCCTTAATTCTCTCTCCCACTTGGCCACATATGTGGCTGTTGGTTTCTTATTAGTCACACACTCCCCGACCTGGTTTCAAAAAAATAGACTGTAAGTTCTCAAAGGCAGGGATCTTTTCTTAATTCTCCCAGGAACTGCCTGGCATATGTCACGTGACAATATCTGCAACTTGCACATGGACTCTAAAGTGTTCAGCAGGTTCATTACTTCTTTTTGTCGGCTTTTTGTATCCTGGAGGAGGATGCATGCTTATTCCCTTTAGAAAACACAAAACACGTAATAGGTGTCCAGCTGATGAAGAGAGGGAGGAGAGCAAAGGAGGTTGAATTGACTGGTATCAAGGTTATCTGGGGGGTAACCTGCTAATGTAAAACTCCGTATAAACATAATAACTTAATTTGGTCTTGGCAAATAAATCCCTTGAAATGAAGGAAATTCTCATGTGCAGAAGGCAATGCTCTAAGGAAAATAATGCATAAAACCATAGGGTTAATGATTGTTACTCATCAAATTGATTCTGATTTTATTTCAATAATTTTAATGTATTTTCTCTGAAGGGATTGTGCTGACCAGCCAGTGTGAAGAACCTGTGTATTGACACTTGTTTCTCACTGTAAATGAATCATAAAATCTTGAAGAAATAGAAGCCAGATATTAAAACATTAAGTTCTTATTGGCTAATCAAAACACTTCGATCCCTAACACTCTAACCAACTGGCACTGTACTATGAATCAGTCTTTTTTTGCACTTCGGTGGCACATGTAGAGGCTTTCAAAGCCAAACCATGTCCACTGAGGCTAATTCAGATTCCTCGAGTTCATAACATGATGCATAAACTCCTGAGATCCAGTTCACAGGGCCTGCCAATTTGCTCACAAAGTTGCTACATGAAACACTAGAATGAAGTTAACAATTAACACGTGAGGCTTATTCACCAATATTTTTGAATAAAGAAGTGCTTTAGAATACTCCTCCAGGCTACAAAATTGTTACTTTTTATGCCAAATCCTGGAAAAAAAGTACTGTAATAATAATGTGATTTTGTTTATCTTGTCAAAGACTCTCATATACATGGGGAAAGAGAGAAAAAAAATTACAGTTTTTGAACAAAGGTTTTAATTAGAAAGAAAACAAAAAGACCACCAGAAATAATTATCTTTAGTACAGTATATTTATAGGAATGCATAACTTGTGAGATGTACATTTTGAAGTTTCATCCATAACTTATAACATTTACTGTAGTGTAACAAGACAGCAGGTCATCACTTTACAACATTACACATGAGTGAATTTGACTTACAAATAAAATATATACAACCTACCTTTACAAAACAACATTGTGTGCATACAAAATGAATAACTGCAGAAAATTTTAAAAATAATCAGACAACCAAAACCCAGAAGATACACTTAAGGCAGACCAGCAAGACACTGAAATAATTAAGGCTGTGGAATTCTTCTGCACCTTGAAAATATAGAGCTATTTATCAATACCGTGGAGTGATTTTAAACCAATTGTTACAAGCCTGATGGACGCATGTAGTTATATGTATATGTATAATGGTCCCTATGGGGAAACCTGTCCACTGATGGGCAAGGCCCTTTATCTGAGTGGCCAGAGAAGCCACCTCAAACTCTCAAAAGACTTGGTGGGGAGGGGTCACTCAAAACCAAAAGGTGCCAATGCCGTTTGCAAACCACCTGTTAATGATTCAAATAAAAAAGTACTTCTGACTCCATATAAACATATAAACTTAAATGGTGGCCCCATTATGTTTTAGGCTTTGTTGGTTTGGTTTTGTGGACTTCAAAAGACAGCAAATAATTCCTTGTTCAGTAGAATCTAACTCTACCCATGTGCCCTAATGGTTTTGAATGGTCCTGGATGGTTTTCCAATAGAAAAATTGACCCACCTGGGCTGTATTCAAATGGATAGATTTCTGCATATGAGCAATAACATATACATACATATTATACACTATATACATGTACAGATGTACATATATCCATATTTTCTAACAGTTTGCAATTTGATCACTACTGTTCTCTGACTAGGATCTGTGAAGAGGATGTTTAGTTTTTTCAGTCTTCACATTCATCCTAACTACGGTTTTACTCCTCTTCCCCATAGAGTAGGCCGAAGTTTGGCAGAAACAGAGGTAAAAGCACCGGGGTTAAAAAAAAAGTCAAACAGAGATGACAAGATATGGCTTCAGTTGGTAAAAGAAGATATATATATTTGTTAATTTCAAATTCATAACCACAGTCTTTGAGGTCATAACAGTTCATGTAACACTCCTGGATGTGGGTACATTTCTTGACAGAAGTCAGTCATGGATGGAACGCTTATGCTAGCTCCTCCTCGGCTAGCAGGTTAGTTGGCTTAAATTATGCCTCAAGAGTGGGGACTTCAGGAATTTTATTTGCACATTTCCCCACCATCCTCCCTTTTCTCAGCTATCCTCACTATCCAAAATAAGTTATCTGAATACACTGTTAATCTCAAACATTTGTATAGAAGCTAAATCTGACAACAGTTTCGATGCTCCCAGCAATCAGGCTGGTAGGAGAACACAAAGCCTATGAGTATTAATTTCAGGCTTATCTGTAAATATCCCTTAAAGGTGAAAATTTGTCTCAGAGTAATTTCTTCTCTAACTTCTACATATATTAAAACGAGGAAGGAAATATGACCTATGATATTTCTGTGTTCTACTATTTCTATATAGATTTCTCACATGAATAATATCTTCTAAATGTCTAGTGCTGTGGACAGATTTCAGCCCTTTTTAACCCTCTAGAATTAAAGAAACAATGTTATGAGTTTTTAGAAAATGAACATTAACATACTTAGCTTCCCTTTTCTTAGAGGAGTATGTGTAAACCTTATCTTTCCTAACCCTGCCCCAGGTTTACTCATTCATTTTCAAATGATCCCTAGATTTTGAATAATTAAGAAAAACCATAATACAAATAAATCCACTGAAAGCTCACATACTGTGTCTGCCTAGCCTGGACTCCACAGAGATGCCACACAGCAGAGAAAGTGTCAAAATTCCTCAAAACTGAGCAAGAAACAGTATTCGCACTTTTGCCCTACTTCAGAGACCACTTATGTGTGAATTCTTGCCTCCTCTATCAAATTACCAGGACAAAGTTTTAGTTAATACACAGAAATAACCATTATCTAGTGCATAATACATTTGCTGCCTCATACTCTCACAAATTTTCATGCTCTTCCACGGAGGCAAGAAAAAAGTAATGACTAACTCATGGGTGCTAAGTCATGGAGACTATGAGAAAGCAAATATTATACTCCTGAAAAATCTAATTATCTAGAAAAAATATATCCAAGGTTTTTCCCTCCAAAAACCAAGAGTTCTATTCATTTCTACACCTGGGCAATTCATTTCCCTCTTCTATAGCAGATGACTGTGAGACTCCGAAGAAATGAGTTGTGAGATCAGAAAGTATTTTATTCTCACTTCTGCCCTCCCAGTGAGGAAAGTGGCTGTTTGGATTCTTCTCTGCCAATCTTTCCAGGGCACCAGGCTTGAGAAGAGAGAGCAGTGGTTGCTTGGAGGGCATCTTACTCTTTGCGTCTCCCACAAGAAATACCAGCATAAACAGTTTATTGACATAAAGACTTCAGTCAGCTCTTCTAACCTTTTTCTGTAGACAAGCTTTTAAATGATCAAAATTACAGCCTAAGGCCAAATAAGATTTATACAGAGAGCACCTAGGACTTCCAATTAAAATCAATTTGTAGAATTTAACGTCATAAGTTTGCAAATGGTATCCAAAGACATGACTATTGAAAACCTGGAATGTTCAAAGTTCCTGTCAATAAAATTCTTAGCGCTGGCAGTGTGTAGCACTTTTTAAAAAAATCAAAGTATTTTCTAGACTTCCTAACTAAGGTACTCTTCCAACATGCCTGTGAAATTAATGTCCACCCTCCTTCCCCCTAACTCCCATTTTAATAACGGGGACATTTGGGGCAGAAAAAAAAACAAAGACTTTCTGTAAGAAAGGTTGAATCAGGAATAACTGAGGTTGAAACTCAAGAATTCCTAGGCTCACCCTATATTCAGATATTTTCACTTAAACTATATTATAAAATAAAGAAAATATGCCGCAACATCAGTCAGTCCAAACACAATGAACTTCTTTTTCCCCTCCTCCCCTCTGAAAGGCACTACTATTGTAAAGCTTTGTGAGCCACAAAGCAGTGAAGCCAGCTCTGCCTCTGCCTCCTCTGCTCCCCCAAGAGCGTGTATGGCTGTGAGAGACTGGAAGGACACTGCCGACACGACAATTTTTTTCTTAAAAATGTTCCCACATTCAGCTGTGAGTGGATACAAATCTATTTAATCTGAAACAATTGTAAAAGATGCAGTAAATCCTTATACCTTTTAAAAATTATTATGGGTTGTCCCTGATCTTTCCCTTCTTTCTCCATCCCACCTTTACAAAAGAAAACCAAAAAAAAAAAAAACCCCCAAACCCTATGCAGTGACTATAAGCCAAGCAAGAAACTTGTGACTTCACCCAACACTTATTTTCCCCAGTTCAACTAGAGGTTCACTTTCACTAATTCTTGGTTATGTTTTGATGTCAAGGACCACTGTAATTAGGGAAGTGGGCTATTGTCTCTTCTTTCTTCTCTTCTCTAACACAAAGGAATAGATATCTCTTCCAAAACAGGTACAAGAAAGGGGTCCCTGGTCCTTCATCTCTCACCACATTTGCCCACAGGACAACCTAAAGTACATTTTCCAGCCCTGTTCCTGGATTCCTTGTTACCTCCAACTTGTTGTGGAGAATTCTTGAACCAGAACCACTATCTCATTCTTTTTGGGAGGAACTAGAAGCTTTGCAGACAGGGAGCTTCCCTGTTAGTTTCCTTCAGTTACCGAACTATATAAAATATACTCCCTTTCCCTTCAGGATTCTATTAAAATCATTCTACTCTAATGATTGTACTTTGGCTCCAGTTAACAAAATCATGCTACGTTTCATGTCTATGTCCTTCTTCTCCTGTCCCTTCACTACCCCAACAAAGTGCCCTGGGGGTGGGGGGATTCCATGCAACCTCCTATCCGGACCATCCCTACTCTGCTGTAAAAGCTGATATAAAAGCTTTGGCTCTAACATTCTGTCACCTGCCCTCCCACAGCACGATCCCGTTAGCCCGCTCCTGTGCAGTCTGCACCACTGTCCTGGGCCCTGCGCTTCCCAAGCAGAAGCTCAGCTTGGTCTCCTGCAGGGCCATAAACACTCAAAATGGCTCAGCAGGGGGCTCTTCAGTCGCAGTCCTCTGCACAGACAGGAGGGAACGAGCCAAGCAGCATGTACCACTACATGGATCTCTGGAATCCTCAGGGCCTGCACTCTGTTTCCTATGGGCCCGGGGACCAGGCTTCCTTCTTTTATGCTATGTCTCATAATGAAGACATGTTTTCTAAAAGAGTTTTGAGTAAATTGTTTTAAATTTTAAAGTATTATGTCATATAGCATTTGTATATACATTTGTTTTTAAATGAAGACTATGGAGGGTTAGTCAAGAGAGCGCTCTGAGGAAGCGATCCTTGATGGCCCAGGGCCATTCAAAAACTAGGAAACAAATACAGTCAAAGTCAGTTTTCACATATTTGGTTAATCCTGAAAATACGAAGTGCTATCTAGTCTTATTGCTTATACTTTCTACTAACTTACTAGTCTATAATCTTGGATGAGAGGAATTGGAGGGTAGATGAGGAAGCTGACTTTGAAATCAGTGGGAAAGAATGATGAGTGTTTTTAATTCTACATTTCCACTGTGGAAATAAGTGTTTTTATATATTCAAGTTCAGGCTTAGTTTCCACCATTCTTTTTAATTGACATAGGTTTGTAGTTCTATTTACCCTTCATCAACTCTCTGCCTGTACTTCCGTGCTGCGTGATTTCAAGTTTCTTAATCCTGTTACAGGAGAGAAGCAATGCCATTCAACCTGACATGGACAAACACTTGAGTTAATGTTTTTAAAATATTATTTGCATAACCACAAGTTTCAAAACATATCTTAGAAAACAAAGAGTGGATCACATACAACCACAAAAACAAAAATGCTTTCCAAAATGAAGAAAGAAAAAACATGAAATGCTCAGGTTTAACTGTTCTTCCACTAGCAGAAAAAAGGGCGGCTAACAGCCACCTACTATGGAGAATATACACCAGAAAGCAGCATTGGCCTCAAAGTGCAATTAGTCCTTTTCGTGCCAGGAAATATTGACGGCCGAGTGGTGATAGATGTTACAACTGTAGTTAAAATTCAATGCTCTGTCAGGGTGATGTAGCAGATTTTATTCCATGGCTTTAAAAAGGACTTGGAACAAGGCCTTTAAAAGGCCTATATGGCTGCCTCCTTTTGGTGAGCACCCCTTAGCTTCCACAGGGCTGAGGAATCAAGTAGACCAACTTTTCTGAGGACCGCATTCTACAGCGGCAGAGGGCCGCAGGAAGTGTTGTCAGGGTGTTCAGGGGAACTGCAGGAAAGGTTTTTGTTTGCCCTTTTGTACAAACCTGTTATATTCGCTATCAATTTCAAACCAAGTGTAGACATAAAAATAGCCCACAACTCTTACTGTATTTGGACTTAGTTCCTGGCAGTTTTTCCTGCCAGGTTAACTCTGAGCTGCCTGTGAATTTGGGAGTAGCATTTCATATGCAGAACCTATGTTAGTCAGATGCCTGTTACTGAGAGAAAAATCTTCTCATTCACAGGTTTCAAAAGGGTAACTGCTTCCTCTTAATGCACAGGTTCTGGTAAAGATTTCTATACAGGATTTATAAAATGCTCTAAAAAACTTGTCATCTAATTGTGCTTAGTCAAAACAATGCAATGCTTTGGCAAATAAATGTCTTAACTGGAGCACTAAAAAGTTACTTATGATTGTTTTCATATATATATCTATATATTATAAAACTCTGAAATCTGAATGGGATATGTTTTACTGTGTGTGTATATGTATCCTATTAAGAAACTATACGTAATCTAAATCAGAATAGTTGGCATACCTGACATCTCTGTTAAATAGAACTTTTTGCTTGAAATTTCAGCAAAGGCAGAAACCTTTTATACTCACCACAATGAGCTGAAGTTTTGCCCACTTACCCACTCATTTTGGAATGCACAATTCAAATTTTGTGACAGCTAATATTCTTGTTATCCTTGGCCCTCTTTGCAATACTCTGTGTGACATTCTCCTTTATCGCTTCTGAATGACCTTCTGGAAAGCCCCTGGATTTAGGGTGATTTTACTGCTGCTCAGCCCCTGGATAACCACTGAGGAGGTTTAAGAGGTACCATCTCTCAATCCAGAGAACTGCATGGAGTGAAATAATGAACAGAATTATTTACAGACACATTCAGTCTTGCTTTGGCTCACACCGCACTTCCATGTGAAATCTCAAGGGTTGGGACAGGGCTACGTCCCTTGGTTGACCCGGCTGACGATGTAGCTCTTGACGTTGGGAATAGGCCGCACATCGTTCTGGTGCTTGCGGCGTTCTATGAAGCAGGCCAGGCGGGAGGTGTCCAGCGGGATCTTGGAGTAGCTGCCATTGTGGGGCTGCAGCCACGGGTGCTGCAGGCAGGTGGCTGCTGTGGGCCGCCGCCGGAAGTCTTCCTGCAGGATCACGTTGATGAAATCTCTGGCAGCATTGCTCACGCCACAGAAGTATTCGTGGGGGAAGCTGAAGTCCACCCTGCATACATTGATGCACGTCTCCTCTTTGCTCTCATCCAAGAAGGGGGAGACCCCGCTCAGCATCACGTATGTCAGCACCCCTATGCTCCAGATGTCGGTGCCCAGGGACACGGGGATGCCCTGGATCACTTCCGGGGCAGCAAACTCAGGGTTCCCCAGCAGGTGGTGGATGTGGAAGTGCCCTGAGATCTGGACAGCATCCTCCAAGTCGATGAGCTTCACGCGAGGCACTGGAATCCGCAGGTCAATGAGCAGGTTCTCGGGCTGAGGAGATCCAAGGAGGCAGGGAGAAGAGAAGGCACACTCAGCTCTCTGCTTGGACTCTCAGCAGGCCTCCATTAGTTCACACACGGTTCTGCTACTCTCTGATAAAGCCTATAGTGAATGGCATTGGTCCCCAACCTTTTCGACGCCAGGGACCAGTTTAATGGATGGCGGGGTGTCGGGGGGCAGTGGAGCTCAGGTGAGCTTTGCTCCTGGTCGGTTCTTAACAGGCCCCGGGGGATGGGGGCACCTGGTTTATGTGACATTCCCTCTGCAAAGTGTACAGGCAGCTCCAAACTAAGCTAAACTGAATTTGGGTGGTACGTCAAAGAAGTTGTTTGTTGTTGAAAATCATGTCTCTTAACTACCCCTTACTTCTGCAGTGAATCAAGTGAAGAATAAATTACTCATTTTGGAAAATAGAGGCTTTTTTTTTTTTGAGCATCATGGAAAAATTGACATTTACTTGCTTTCTTCTACAAAATTAGATGTAGCAGTTAAAGCTGACCTATCTTCTCTCACTCCAAATGTCGTTGTGTCATTGTGCTCTCATTAACTCATGAATAACACTCTTAAATGGTGCAATAACCTAGTTTCTGTTTAATATTCATAAGGAGTCTAATCTAAGTAAAAAAATGAATTAGCATTTACATCTCTCAAGGGCAATGACTGGCAGGTTGGATTGTGTCATTTCCCTGCAAGGGTTGCTATTTCTCATTACCTTGATGTCCAAGTGCGCAACCCTGCAGTTGTGAAGGTACTGCAGAGCTTCCATGATGTCTCGGATGTAGAAAGCTACCTTTTCTTCCATGAGCTCATCGTGATTCATAAGGTAGTCTAAGAGCCGGCCATCATCCATCCTGAAAGTAGGGAGGAAAGAAAGGCAAAGAGAATAGGTTTGTAAAAGAACAGAAAAATAACACACACAAATCTGTAAGGTCTTCCCTACTCCCTATGATAAAGATCAATGTTGTAATACAGGCATATTTTAGTTAGAGCCCTAAGTTAGTATAATGTTCAGACCTAAAATAAATAAATAAGCAAACAAGTAAATAAAGAATGTTACAAATATGGCATATTTCAGGGAGGAAATCTATATAACCTTGTTTAAGACACATTGTTTTGTTAACTTTTTTTTTATTCTCACCTGAGGACATTTTTTCATGGCTTTTAAAGAGAGAGGAAAGGAGAGAGGAGAACATCGATGTGAGATAGAAGCATCAATTGGTTGCCTCCTGTATGCACCCAGACCAGGGAGCGAACCAAACCTTCAGCTTTTCGGTTATGAGATGATGCTCCACCAACTGAGCCTCATTGGCCAAGCTGTTTTGTTAATTTTAAAATTGCTCATGGGGAAAAAGGTCCAACTCAAAGATCCTTTGAGAGGTTAGGTTGCAAAATAGAAAAAGTCTTCAGACAGGGACAGGAGAAAGAGACATGGAGGGCTCTCTGGGCAACATTCTGATTAACGGGAACCTGGTGGCTACAAGCAGCCCTAAATATATCTTGCAAATTGCTTTTATTTGTCAAGTTTTCATTGCTGAAAAACCAAAAGGAGGCAAAGTTTATCGCTGGCATTCTTGACCCCTTTTTGAATCCTTTACTTTTTAGCAATTTTCCAACCTTACAAACTGTGACTGAGATAAGGTAGGGGGAGCCCGGCAGAACCCGATTTGAATCCTGGTTCTGCCACTTACAGGCTGGGAGCTTGGGGCAAGTCATTTCAATTCTCTGCGTTACAGTTACTTCATCTTTAAAGTGGGGATAATAGTAACAACCACAGCAATAATACTTACTTCATTGTGAGGAACGTGCAAGGATCAAGTAAGAAGAGGCATTTATGCATAGTTGGTAGCAATAGTAAGTGCTCAATAAATGTCAACTACTTTCAGGTACCCTGTCCCCTCTTTAGCAAGGAGTGACCAGATGTCAGGCAGTTATTCTTTAATGTGCACCAGGCTGTGAAAAACACACCCCCAGGAAATACCCCGGCAGAGGAGCTTAAGCAAGAGTCAGAAACTACTTTCAAGCACAGCAGAACCACCCCACTCCCCACCCATCTCTTTCCTAGCTTGTCCCTTCCCACTGGTCTATTCTGTTTTCCTTGATGGGAGCAAACGTTGGGAGCAAATGTTAGGACCAATGAAGACCTATGTTGCCTTCCCTTCTCTGTCTCTGCCAAGGCTGGGTGTGAGTGGTGGGCGTGGGGTGAAGTAGTATTGGGCTTGTTTGATGCATCCCTCTGGGCTTCTTGGAGCACTTACAGAGGAATTAACAATAGCCCTGCTGTGAGATCCAAAAGCCTCAGCCATGAAGCTCACCCTTAGAGCTCCTGGATAATGCACACGCACGGGCCACACCATAGACGACAGGATCAGAACCTTGGTTGTGTGCGTCCGTTGCCTGGCAGAGAAAAGCTCGACCAGCAATTGGATGGCCCACAGAAAGGGCGCCCCCCAGTCCCAGCACGGCCAAGGCTTAGCACAGGGGCTGTCTCTCCCCACTCCTACCTAAACTTCAAGCCCAGCCTAGTCCCTTTCTGTGTTCTCAGAGTAACCCTCTCCAAAATATGCATTTACCATGTTATACTGAAATTAGCTGTTGGTCTTCCTCATTCCATGAATAACTTCTCAATGTCAAGAACTATTTTTTCATCTTTGTTCCTCCCACCCTGGCCCGGGTAATAGCAAGTGCGCAATAAATGTTAATAAACTAGTTCAATCCAAGAGTCATCTAATTTAATCCCTGCAACATCTCTGAGAAGTGGGAATAATTCTTCAGACTTCACCGATAAGGACCCTGTGGTCGAGGAAGTCAGGCACACTGGCTCCAACTCAGAGTACTGGGGTTAGCACCCCATTTCTCTACTCCATTGCACTGAGAGCCTGGCCATCCGTACCTTCCCTTGCAATGCTGACCTGCGGATGGGAGGGAGCGCTGGTTCTGGGTTGCTATACCACTTTGGTATGCAAGTGACAACACCTTTTACTGGAAGTATAGTCCAGTGTAACATATTGTCACTTGTAAACAAAGATAGCTCACTGTTAAGAGAAAACACCTTTTTGAGTTAGGAAGCTCCCAACAAATAGGTTAGGCTCTCAAGGTTGTTTTTAAGTGTATTTGTTAAGTCCAAAGTGACAATCTACTACACAGCTGTAACAGTATCACAAAAGAACTGCAAATACTAACAGGGTTGGTTTTGTCTCCTCTTGTTTCTTTTCAACCAATTTAAAATTTTAGCCTAAGATGTTTGCATTTTGGTTTTCTTTTTTTTATCATAAATAAATTTATAATGAATTACTTCCTCAAAAACCCTCATACATATACAGCTAGATCAGTGATTTTCAACCTTTCTTATTTCTTGGCACACAAACTAATTACTAAACATCTGTGGCACAACCAAAAATGTATTTTTTGCTGATCTGATAAAAACATGGGTATAATTTTGATTCATTCACACTGGACAGCTATCGTGTTGGCTGTTGTCATTTTTAAGTTTGTCAGTCTAAGGGAAAAGAGGTCAGTGCTTCCGGCTCAATAGTCAGGTATTGAATGTTTTGTGTTTTTTTTTTAAGATTTTATTTATTTATTTAATTTATTTATAGAGAGAGAAGAAAGGAGGGAGAAAGAGAGGGGGAGAAACATCACTTGGCTGCCTTCTGCACACGCCCCAGCTGGAATCAGCCCCAACCCAGGCATGTGCCCTGACTGGGGATTGAACCGGAGACCTTTTGCTTTGCGGGCCAACACTCAACCAACTGAGCCACACCAGCCAGAGTGGTACTACACATTTTAGAAATTCTTGCAGCACACTGGTTGAAAATTGCTGAGCTAGACTAACAAGCACATAAGAGGAAGATTAGAATGACATTGAAAAGCTGTAAATGGAGGTGCTTCTCTACTAAATAGAGGTCCTTGTGGAGCCTTACACAGCACTAGGGTTGGGTGCAAATATCTGTCTCCTCTCCAGGCCCAGGACCTCATCATATCAATCTGATAACCTTTCTATGAGGGCTCAGTACTTCTGAAAATAGTCCGTGTAAAGTCTATCTAAACCACAGAGCATGTTCTCTGTTCTTAGCTTGCGGTAGTACTGAGGAGAATGCGAACTTACTGCTTTATCTGATGTGTTCTAGGGCCAACTGTATGGTTGCCTGAGTCCCTAGAAAATCTGGAATGAGTGGAATGTTTTGAAAGTAAGGTTCCACCCTAGAAGGAATTTCTGGGATGGTAGATGACAGTGGGTTGATGCACAAACCCCTCTCTTTCACCTCAACTCTACCCCTGTCAGTAAGCCTGTTGTCAATAAGTTTTTCCTAAACTGCCCAGCTTAAGAATCATAATAGAAAGAAAACGAAAACTGACTGAAGGAGATGCAGGTTCAAGTCCCAGCTTTTCCAATGCCTAGTTTTAAGGAGCTTCCTTATCCTTGATTTTCTAATCTATAAAATAAGAATAACATTTTTATAAAATGGAGGGCAGAGTGCATGTGACATGAAGCACTTTGTAAACTAGAAGACACTGCATTAAATAGAACTGCCAGTAAATAACCCCAGTAGCTGGGGACCACCTTAGAGGGATGACACCTGTACTTACAGTTCTAAAATCAGGATATAGGACGTGGGAGACTCATAAGTGTCGTGGAGGGTGATGTACTGTGGGTGCTGCAGGTGCTGAAGTAGGGCGGCCTCATGGGCAGCCTGCTCTTTTTTCTTCATTTTTTTGCTAACAAATTTCACAGCAACATCTTTGCGGGTAGCTTTGTGAATGCACTTCTTTACTATGGAGAAACGGCCTCTGGAAAACAAAAGGGAGAAAGCATTTGCCAAGATTCATTAGTCAACTAGCCATTATTTTATTCAAGGATGTGTAATGTTTTCTCTGAAGTGTCATATAGTAACATTTTATTAGGAATTCTATTTTCCTACACAGTAGCTGCCCCTTGCCCATCCAGAGGAATATGTTCCAAGACCCTCAGTGGATGCTGAAACTGAAGAAAGTACTGAACCCTGTATATACTATGTTTTTGTTCCCCTGTATTTAGTACCTTTTCACTTAAAGGAAGCACTTTACGGCTTCTCTTTGGCATGCCTGAATTGCCAGTATTACTCCTCTTGTGCTTTGAGGGCATTATAAAGTCAAACAAGGGTGGTTTAGACACTAGCACTGTGATACCTTGCCAGTCGATCTGACAACTGAGATGGTCAGTAAGTGACTAATGGGCAGGGAGCGTATGCAGCACGGAGGTGCTGGACAGAGGGGTGATTTGTGCCCTGGATGGGGCAGGGTGGGATGGTACCAGAGCTCATCAAACTACCAAAAGAATGCAAAATTTAAAACTTACAAATTGTTTATTTCTGGAATTTTCTATTTGATATTTTCAGACCACAGTTGACCATGAGTAACTGAAATTGTGGAAAGTAAAACCATGGATAAGGGGTACTACTGTATTTTTAATCATAATGTTATCATTCACCATTTTTCCTTCCTTAGCATTTTAGGATTCTTTGAGATGCAAAAAAACTAAGGGAGAGATGTATTTTTCTCTCACTGTGGAACATCAACCACAAGTTCAGTTTTCTTTTTGAAACAGAGTATATTTCTATACAACACAATAATAACAATAGCAGCAATGTTAAAGAAGGAGGAATTCTACTTATGATAATTTCAAAAACATTTTTAAAGAGGCAATTTTTAAGTTAATTTTATATTTATTATCTTTTTATTATGAAAAATTTCTAATATATGCAACAATGGAGAGGATGCTGTAATAGATGCTATATGCACCTAACAGCCAGCTTCAATAATTACCAACATTTTGCCAACCTGATTTCATCTCTCCCTTTCCTGCCCTCTGCTTTCTTTTGAAGCGTTTTAAGAAAAATCCAGTTATCATGTTATTTCATTTATTAACACTTCAGTTTGCATCTTAAATTGACAAGGACATTTAACAAGTATATAACAACCGTTCTATTTTTACACCTCACACAATTAACTGCACCTGAAATAAATAAAATGTTCCCAGACTCAGCTGTGGCCCCTATGGAAAGTAGTGAGAGTAATAGAAGGAGGGGGGCGCTGATCAGCAATGGAAGCAGAGAAAGGGAGGGTCAAAAAGGTAACAAACTTGTGCCACCAAGGTCTGTCCCTAAAGTGCCCTAACTCATGAACAGAGGAGTGAACGGTGTGAGGAACGGTTTATTCCCAGGGTAGAAAGGGATGCGCCATACCACCCTGAACATGCCTGATGTCATCTGATCTCGGAAGACAAGGATGCACTAGACGCCATGGCCAGGGCTGACTCCTTGGCTCAGCTCTGTGCTCACCGAGCAACCTTCTGAAAATAACTTTGTTTTTTGTTTTTTGTGTTTTTTTTTTGCTATAGACTTTCTCCAAAAAAGAGAATGTGTTAATCAGTAAAACAAATATCAGGCAAATATTAATTAAATGCCTATCATATACCAGACATCATTCTTGGCATAGTGAATAAGTATTTGGCCAAACCAGAAGTTTTATTTTACATCATGAATTAGTGAACTGTCATTCTGATTTTTAACAGCACTCTCTGAGTTTGATTATTATAAGTCAGTTTTTTAGAGGACTTTGAATGCTGAGGATAGGTCTCTTGAACTTAGTGGCCCTGTCAAAGTGCTGCTACCTTAATTTTAATTTGTGCCTATCGAAGTTCCACACCCCCATGGTTTAAAATGCCATTTAGCTTTACAACGTTTGTCATTAAAAACTGTAGTATCCCATCATACCACCCATCCCCATTTTCTTCCGTAGAACAGTTTAATATACCAGTTTAATATATTTTAGCTGATTATTTAGGTATTTACTTCTATGACTTTAAATATGGTATTTATTGTGTGTCTACATTTTGATTTTTTTCAACTTTAATTGTTATCTGTTGACATCCCAATACGAAAGATGCGATTTTAGTATCCTTTCTCCCTCTGTCTCCACCTCATAGCCACTCTCCCATTCCCCATCTCCCAACAGAATTATAGTGTAATCATATTTAGTGTTTACATTCGTGGAACTATGTCAGTGCTAGTCACAACTGAAGCTTTAGTAAACTATGAATATTCTTCATTTTTGTGGTAGGATGCATTCTTCAGTAATTTCTGGCAAGGAGTACATAGGAAATAAGTTGTGTGAGACTTGCATATCTCAAATGTGCTTATTCTACCTGTATACTTGATTGTTAGTTTAGCTGAGTATAAATCTAGGTAGAAAAATTCACTTAGGATTTTGAAGAAATTATTCCATTGCCTTCTGATTTCTAGTGTAATTGAGGATGTTAACTGTCACTGTCCAAAGCATTATAATTCCTAACCCTTTGTATATGTCCCTCACTGAGATCCCCCCCCCCCCAATTCTCTGTCTCCTGGGGGCCCTGTCCTATGGTTCTTCTGGCCAGAAAGACAGGATTCCCTGGGAGTTTTAGCTCCCACGTCACGAGACCGCTTGTTTTGCACGCAGGCCCTTGGGGTAAAGCAGTAGGAGAAAGAAAGGGGAACTAGGGGAAGTTCCCTGCTCTTTTCAGCTCCGAGGGACCCCCTTGTCCTGTTTTTTGGCCAGAAAGGTGGATCCGTCTTGGGGTGTTTCCTCACTGCGCAGCCTGCAGTTTCTGGATTTGTCCCACTCTCAGGTCAAAGGAGAAAAGAACAAAGAGAAAACTCACAGGCACTGTTTTTGCCTTTCATCAAGTTTGACGTCCTTCCCCAGTGTTCCTGTTTTTTTTTTCCCTCAGAATTCTCGAATAGCTGCTTTTCGTGTTTTCTCCAGGGATTCTAGTTGTGCCAGGGATTCTGGTTGTGCTCCGTGGGCGGGGGAAGGCTGCTGCAGGCTTACTCCCCCTTGGCAGGGAGGGGAAGTTGGCTCATTTTATAAAATGGGGACTAAGAAGCTGCCTGAAAACTCTGAGAGCGGGTGAGGGCTGGGGGCCTCCATGTCTGGCAGCGCCCAGTCTCACAGTCCCACGTCTGGGCTGAGTCCTGCTGCCCTCAGGGAGCTGGTGGGCCGAGGCCAGAGGCGCTTTGTCAGCTCAAACCCCTGGCTTTTTACTGGATGGGGACAGACATCATACAGCTGCCTGAGGCTGGGGAGGAGATTCGAGCCACAGATTTTCCTTGCACAGAGTTCAGCTGATCCTTCCAACCAGAGCATCCTCTTTATACCTATTTCCAGAGGCTCTGGGCGCTGCCAGTACCAGAGCCTCTGGAGGATTCTGCTGTCACTTATTATGACTCTCACTTGACCCTACAACTGACTTGGATCGAGTTTTCTCAGGTTTCCCAGGTTATTTGCCACTCTTTCAACCTGCACTTCTCATGTCCTCATTCTTATGTGTCTGCTGTAAAAAATTCTTTTACAAAAGATTTAGTAAAGTCTGAGGAGGGAGTGAAAACAGACGCCTGGGTCAGCTGCCTCCCTACCTGGAGGCCTGGTGCTGCTACCTTTCTGGATCCTGTGCAGGTGACCAGTCAGCACTCCCTGGGGATAACTCTGGCTTCTTTACACTGGTGCCTATATAGTTTATTTCTGGTTAATATGCCGTGCTCAGGTGCTCTTCGCTTCCATGGTTGGACTATAGGAGTGAAGATATTTCTTTTTGCACCAGGATTTTTATAATATTCAGTTACCAGATAGCTCATTTTAATAAGATAGTCATATATGCTTAGAATTCTGGGTGTAGGTGTGATGGAGAAAACTGGGTCACTTCTACGGCCCTGGCACAGATGGTTTTGCATGTGTCTCACATAAATATCCACCTGCTTTATTTCCATTCTATTAACATACAATGTGTTTCCAGGATCTTCTGAAAATATGAGGACCATAATAAGGAGAGAGGAAAAATTTCAGGTTGTTGGAGATGTAATTTTTGAAAAACCACTGCTTACTTTGAATAGATCATAAAATTGATCTCCCCTTTGAAAAATATCAAAACACCCATCTCTTCTAGCTAAAATATGCCTTTGCCTAAGGCCATCGGCTGCAAAGTTATGTCTTGGAGAGGAATTAACTGGGGCATCCAGGTGATGAAATCAGTCCAACCGGCTCGTGATTAGAATCATATCTAGCTTCACAAACTTCAGTATCATGGAGCAAACTAGATTTTAATGACTACTGCTTATTTATCACAAAAATTGCTATGATGCAAAACAACATCTGCTAGTAATCAAGCACAGGCTTCGAGTCAGGGAGCCCAGGGTTTGAATCTTGGACCTCGAGGAATTTACTTACCCCCTTGAAACTGAGTTTACATTTACTGTAAATCTACTCAAACACTATGTCACAGGATTGGATTCAGTAACTTTTGTATAATATCTGCACAATGTCTGGAACACTATAGATACTCAACAAGCATCTCATCATCAACACCACCACATAAATGTCTGTTGGCCTTGTGTCTACACAAAGGAGATAGCAAAGAAGAGCTAAAGTTGTTGTTTGTATGTGTGTGTGAAAGGTGCTATAATGAAAAGCAGTGATTCACATTGTGACTACTGCCTAAAAAATGGGACCAACAAATATTTTGGTTCTTTCCACCTCTGTCACAACAATCTCACTTAGGAAATGTTATGTTTCATTGAGAGACATCAGTCAGAGATGAAGATGATGCTAGCGGTGCTCTTTTATTTACATACGCAGGGCGGGTGGGTGACTGCCAAGACCCATGACCCACATTTTCTCACTGGGACCGCCTGCAGACTAATGCATGCACAAGGACAAACACCTTTTTTGTTCCTTTCCATCCACTGTTCTATGGGACAGATGATATATTTTTTCAC